TCGCCAGACTTACGTCTCGCCGCACGCCGCCAATAGTTGCTGGGTCGAGTGGGCCGCGCTGTGGCCTGAGTAGCTGCAACGCTTCTCCAATCATCTATGTCGACGCGCTCCCATTCCTCAGATTTCTGTCATTAATAACTTGATAATTATTGCGAATCTCGCAAAACGGTATGGGACTTTCATGTTTGTCTTAACCTAATTTACCTTCAGGTATCATACTTCAGGTTGTAAACTTATAACCCCTCACCCTGTATATATATACAGGGTGTCCGGAATGTGATCATTAATATTTTGTGTACTGGTAGAACTCGTTAAAACAATGAAAAAAGTCCTGTGCCATTTTACAATTTTTTCAATATTTATTCCGTAATTAAAATTAATTAAAATGTGTAAACAAATGAGCGCACGAGAAAGCGACAGGACGGGCTCTGTGTATAAGAAGATGGCTTACCTCGCGCGGCGAAAGCGACCGTAAGCGACAAGAGGCGTGCGCGCGCGACGAGGAGCGAGCGAGCGCGAACGACGAGCGAGCGAGCGCAAGCGACAAGAGGCGGCCGCCCAGCGCTCTCTACGCGCTCATTGGCTCACATGTTTCAATTAATAACTCGATAACTATTGCCAATTTGACATTACGGTACATGACTTTTCTTCTCGACCACACCCAATCTACCAGTACACAAAATATTAATGATCACATTCCGGACACCCTGTATACAGGGTGTCTCAGAACTTTGGGACACCGTAGGATATAGAGTTAAGTGAGAGGAACAAAAAAGTCCTCTGCCATAATGTGAAAATCGTAATAGTTTTTTAATTATAACAGCGCAAAGTTAGGCGTTTTCCACGCCCAACGCGGCCTATAGACGCTCCGCGGCAAGCTGTGTGCGTAGGGGCTGAGCGATAATGCGTCTCGCACTGACTGTCGCGATGGCGTCTTAGCGCTTTGACGCCGCGCGACGGTCAGCACGAGCTGCGTTATCGCTCAGCCCCTTCGCACACAGCTTGCCGCGGAGCGTCTATAGGCCGCGTTGGGCGTGGAAAACGCCTAACTTTGCGCTGTTATAATTAAAAAACTATTACGATTTTCACATTATGGCACAGGACTTTTTTATTCCTCTCACTTAGCTCTATATCCCTACGGAGTCCGTGTCCCAAAGTTCTGAGACACCCTGTATATATGTACATAGTTGTGTGTGTATATATACACATATATGTATGTACATATATTAGGTGCGCAACTAAGTTTCCGGGGTTTTTTGATCAATGAAAAATGGAAAATTTCAAGAGAAATACAAAAAAATGGTTTATTCAAAGTATCGTCTCTCGCTAGCTACACATTTTTGCCATCTCTCTGGCAATACATGAATACCGCGACGATAAAACGACGCGTCTTTGGACCGAAATCATTGGTTGGACATTCATCCAACCAATTTTGCACTTCTTCGAAATTGGCCAAGTGTTGCCCAGCCAAGCCATGCGCCATCGACCGGAACAAGTGATAAGCGGAAGGGGCCAGGTCTGGCGAATATGGCGGGTGCGATAGCAGATCTCATTTCAGCGTTTTGATGATGTCCTGGACGATGGAAGTGCGCTGGCACGGAGCGTTGTCCTGCTGTAATATCACTTGTTCGTGTCTCGTGTCCCATTCTGGCCGTTTTTCGAGTAATGCATGGTTCAAATTGATCAGTTGTTGTCGGTAGCGATGCCCATTGACAGTTTCGCCCGGCTTCTTTTCAGCAGCTCATAGTACACGATTCCTCTCTGGTCCCATCAAACGCAGAGCATTGTCTTCTTTCCGAAGCGATTTGGCTGTGCCGTCGATGTTAATGCTTCGCCAGGTGAAAGCCACGACTTTTTGCGTTTGGGATTCTCGAAATATATCCACTTCTCATCGCCAGTAACAATTCGATGCAGGAAACTCTTGCTTTCATGCCGCAAGAGAAAAATTTCGGAAGTGGCTTTTCGATTTCCCATCTGTCTCTCAGTCAACTCATGCGGCACCCATTTTCCCTCCTTTTGAATTTTTCCCATGGCAAATGGTAAACGTTTGGAAATACCTTGGCGAGTCATGTTTAATGCCGCTCCGCAAGTTGATCTTGTGTTCGCGTATCATCTTCATCTAATAACGCTTGCAGATCAGCGTCCTCAATTGTTTTTGGTCTTCTTCCGGAGCGCTTCTTGTCCTCAGTGTCGAAATCGCCACTTCTGAAGCATTTAAACCAATCTTCACAGGTAGTTTTCGATGGTGCCTGTTCGCCGTAGGCCTCCTCAAGCAAACGACGTGCTTCAGCTGCACCTTTTTTCAAGTTAAAGCAGAAAAGCAAAGCTTCCCGCAAATGCTGTTTATTTGGCACAAAACTCGACATCTTCGTTGTTAGAAAAAATATATTTGCGTTGCGATATGTGTTGGTATTACGACTGGTTAATGTTAGCAGATGTCCAAGTTATAAAAAAAAACACAACTTCAGACATGTATGTCAACTACATGTGTCGTTAGCGCCATCCATGTGTGAAACCTGGAAACTTAGTTGCGCACCTAGTATACAACATATTTCCTAGTTGAATTATCGTCTATATACCATTGTTAATTTTAAAAAAGCGCACAATAATTCTCACGATAATTGCTCTTATTGCACAATCTCATTAATCATTAACTTATTATTACACACACACACACACACACACACACACACACACACACACACACACACACACACACACACACACACACACACACACATATGTATTATGTTTTATATATATGTTTTATATATATGTTTTATATATATATATGTATATGTATAATGTTAAATGATGTCACGATATTATAAACACTATTTCTTTTTCTGTCACGGTTTTTTTTGTACATTGGAGTTAATTTTTTCTTGGCTTAATTTTAAATCCTATTTTTTATTTTTTACTTTATTTTAGTTTTTTCCATATTTCACTTTCTTTGTATATTTTACTTTTAATGTGAAATATTTTGGTCATAATCAAAGAATACCGAAAAACGTTAAAACTTGATTTACATAAAGTTCTTCACATTTGGCTCCTATTATCTGTTCACTTAAAAAATTACAATGTCTTCATTTTCTTTCGATTTTATATTTCAGAAAACTTTCTTACTATCCTATTTTAAATGCAAACTCTGACGGAAAAAACTGTAACATCTTAATTTGTTAAGAATTGTAATGTTGTTGTGAATACATTTGAAATATGGGCCTTTGACTGAGTTAGACTTTTTAATAGTCTTGATAGTTAGTACATTTAGTACTACTATAATTAATTCATATCATCATTCATATTTAAATCCACACACACACAGACATATACATGCGTGCACGCACGCATGTGTGTCTGCGCGCATGTGTGTGTGTATGTGTTCTATAAGCATTATATGTTCACATAATTCTAATGGACCAGATGTTTATATATAACTACAAACTATCAGATAAGAGCTAATATTTACCTAATTATCTCAAAGATGTTAATGTTGAAGTTCTAGTTGATTGGCATAGGAATGAAATTTGGACATTTTTAAGATGATCTGCCTATGCACATAATTTTTCTGAAAGTGGTTAATAGTTATCCCTGTTGTGAAATATATTAAAATGAGAATACTTTTTCATAATTGTACTTAGATAGGAAGAATATAATTGGAGGGCATTATTTTATTGTAATGTAATACTTGGAATTATCAATTTACTGTTGTTGTTTCATATAGTATCTTGCGGTAGAGGAGACTGTTACACCGTGGAAAAATTTTCATCGAATCTTTATTTTTCCTTTGTATTTATCTTTTTTTCAATCCGATAACTAAACTTTGGCATCTTTGAATATATCTATATGCATATTTGTAATATTTTCTCCGTTGTTCTTTAATGTTACCTTGAGTTTACTATTTGTACTATTGAACTATCGTTAATTTTAGCTAGATGCGTTATAAATATTGAAGATTGTTTCAGAAGACTGGTGCTCGTACACCTATATCTGTATATATTCACACTTAAAACTTGAATTCAAAAAATACAAAGCAATAAGAACAGTTAAAACTTAAATTCTTGTGTTTGACAAATAAAACATTTTTGTGAAAAGATGTAAGATTCCAAGTAAGATGAGATACATACAATCATATTGAATATTATTTTCTACAGATTACATGAATGCGTATTATTTAATTCAGTGAGTATAGTCGCAAAACAAAACGAGTAAAAAATCACCGAATACGTCTGGCATACACGACAGTCTCCACTACATCAATACGTACGATGAATAGGGTACAAATATAGGATAGCCTTATAAAATGAAAGAATGTTTAACATGTCGACCATATGTTTGTAACTTAAATTATGCGCGAAGTTGCATGATTTATTGCAATAATAGTACAATTGAAAGAGATACTATTAAACATATATATATATATATATATATATATATATATATATGATCATGGTGAGAACAAATGATCGGACAAATAAGTTTGAAATTCTTGTTTAAATTCTATATAGATTTTGTATGACACGCGCGTGCGCGCGCACATACACACACATATATGTAGCATACGAAATAAATCTGTTTTAAAGTATGAGATCATATATATTTAACTTCTAGGCAGACCAACATTAGTGATTCAACTACTGATGAATTGATTACTGTCGAATGTATTTGACAATATGCTAAATCTTCATTGTGAACTATTTATTATTTATTATAATTTATTGTATAGTTATTTTATAGTTATCATACCCATTATGTTGACTGTTGATATAATTTTTTGAAATCCACTCAAAAGAAGTCCGTCAAATATGTACATTGGTGATGAAACAATCAATATTTCTTCATGATTTATATTAATGAAATGATTTTGTGTGTTGTCACAGTTGCTTCGTACGTATCGAATTGTATCATAAGGAACAACTTTGATATTTATTTCGCTCTATATCGCATTCTGTTTAATTAATATAATTTGACTAATACAATTTTCCATCTTATTTATCTAGTCAAGAACAAATCAGACAGCTGGAACGTCAAGAGACTTTTCTTCGTCAAAATCATCCACGCTGCCCACTCCTGCTAAGGCAGCGAGTTTCGAACGTTCCACTTCTATGCAAACCTTACCTTCTCCGACGAAGAAAAAGTCTTTGTCGAAACGTAGTATTACGTTTGCCGATCTGCCGCCAACTTTAAAAGAGAGCTCGAACAATGCTTATCCGTCTCATGTCGAATCCGCATCGCCTACAAACGAGCGACAAATTCGACCGTTGCAGGATACACTTACTTCTCCCCCTTCACAAATTATGTTCTGCGAAAAACCTGCACATGCACGTTTCCGACTTCCCCCAACGCCTTTAACTGCTCCTGAATGCAGTGGAAATATTGACACTAAGGCTTCCTTTAGCAAACGACAGATAGCACGCTCTGTTGATGGCAAGTTTCAGGTTGAGGTGGGTTTCAAAAAAGCATGTTTAATTACTAACATATTATTCATATACACATATATATACAGGATGAGGAAAAAATACCGGGACCCCGAAATATATCGAAAAATATAATTTTTTATGAAAAAATGTTTCAGACAAAAGTTGTAGGTTTTCAAGTAACGCATTACATAGTAATATCAGTATGACCTTGAATAGCGTTGTCAAAGTCACATGAAGGTCATCTTAAATTTCTTAAATGGAACCCCCTATTTTTCATTACATATTCTTGTAGCCTATCTCGAGGGCTTTCCAAAACACTATAACTGAATGTTTTTTCGTAAGTATTTTACGAGTTACAAGATTTAAAAGTTACAGTACCGCCGACATTAGCATTATCCAAGGTGTACTGCGTGGAGGTTGCACATCTGTGCGATTTCGACTTTCTCTTAAAATACAAAGTGAAAAGAATATTAAATATTTCGATTTTCGAATTCGAGCAACAGTTAAGAAACAGTATTAGTATTAGTAACAGTATTAGTCGTCACTTGTATTCAGTCATTATTCTTCAGTATTGTCTTCAGAAAAACTTTGAATTGATTTAAGTATTAATTTATTCGGTTTGACTAATTCTTCCGCTTGTCAATATGCTACGTCTTTCAGCGAGAACGCATATCTCTTCTAATGATAAGAGGATAGGATGATCGATTAAGATCACATAATGATGTAAAGCAGCTTTTTAATGAAACATTTCGTGGAACCATATATTTTTCATTACGTATTCTTGTAGCTTATCTCGAGGGCTTTCCAAAATATTATAACTTAATTGTTTTTCGTTAAATATTTTGCGAGTTACAGGATAAGTTTTTGTAGCATTTCTTCAGATCTTTTCAAAGCTTACCCGCTTTAAGTAAGTCATTTCAAAGTTATCGAGCTTTTTATAGTAAGATGCCTAGCTCACGAAGGCGAGATTGTCAATTGTCCAGCCAACTAAAGCAAGATTGTCCACCCAACTACGGCAAGACTGGAAAGATTTATAGTTCAATTGTTCAGTTGTTCAAAATGTCCACCATCAACAGTTTGACAAAAGCTACCCTATCGTAAAAAGATGAAATGGCATTTTGAATGTAATCAATAGGAATAATAGCAGCTTCATCAAGAATCCGATTTCGTAAATCAGCCAGATTTTGTGGATTCGTTTTATAAACTCTGTTTTTTAAATAGCCCCACAGAAAGTAATCAAGAGGTGACAAATCTGGCAATCAAGGAGGCCATTCTATATGTCCTTTTCTGCCTATCCATCGCTGAGGAAATACTGTATTCAGATAATTACGGTCGTCCCTCCTATAATGTGGCGCAGCACCATCTTGCTGAAATCATGTATTCTCGAAGTCGTCATCCGTGATTGCTTGTATCGCTGGAACTATTTCATTTCTTTGTATTGTATCAATATATTCTCATATTTTATCGCTGTTAGATTGCCTTCAATAAAGAATGGACCTATGAGAACATTATTCAAAATGCCTGTCCAAACATTCAATTTTTGTGGATACTGCGTATGTGCTTCTTGAATCCAGTTAGGATTTATATCTGACCAGAATTTACAATTGTGTCGATTAACATAGCCATTTAACTGAAATGTTGCTTCATCTGAAAAAACTTAGGATCTTTATCTATTCTTTCCATCATCAACTCACAAAATTCAAAGTGCCTATCAAAATCATCATCACTTAGCTCTTGCACGAGGTGGACTTTATAAGAATAAAATTTATTAAGTTTTAATATTTTAAACACAGATTTTTTATCTAAATCATTTTGCTGTCCTACTTTGCAGGTCCTATTTTGCAGGTAGAATCATGCGGATTTTCGATGGAGGATTATAAAACATCTAATGATTTTTCTGGATTTGTTGTTGATACAGGTCTACCTGATATTGCACGATTTTTCATATTACCAGTTTCTTCAAAACGCTTTATTGTTCTCTCAACAGTAGATTTTGAAATGGCAGTATCTTGATCACGAAATGTTTCATTAAAAAGCTGCTTTACATCATTATACGACCTTAATCGATCACCCCATCCTCTCATCATCAGAAGAGATATGCGTCCTCGCTCTGAAAGACGTAGCATATTGACAAGCGGAAGAATTAGTCAAACCGAATAAATTAATACTTAAATCAATTCAAAGTTTTTCTGAAGACAATACTGAAGAATAATGACTGAATACAAGTGACGACTAATACTGTTACTAATACTAATACTGTTTCTTAACTGTTGCTCGAATTCGAAAATCGAAATATTTAATATTCCTTTCACTTTGTATTTTAAGAGAAAGTCGAAATCGCACAGATGTGCAACCTCCACGCAGTACACCTTGGATAATGCTAATGTCGGCGGTACTGTAACTTTTAAATCTTGTAACTCGTAAAATACTTACGAAAAAACATTCAGTTATAGTGTTTTGGAAAGCCCTCGAGATAGGCTACAAGAATATGTAATGAAAAGTAGGGGGTTCCATTTAAAAAATTTAACATGACCACATAACCTTGACAATGTTATTCAAGGTCATACATATTGCTATGTAATGCGTTACTTAAAATTCTACAACTTTTGTCTGAAACGTTTTTTCATAAAAATTATATTTTTCGATATATTCCGGGGTTCCGGTATTTTTTTTCTCATGTTGTACATATATACAGGGTCCCCCATTTTAATGTCCCACCCCAAATAACTCTTCAATGCTGAAGAGTTATTTGGGGTAGGACATTAAAATGAGACACCCTGTATATAGTGTCTGCCAAAAGTTCCGAAACGGCTAATTATTTCAAAAAATAATGATTGTTTAAAACAATATTTGAAACAAAAGTTGTAGGCCTTAAAAAAAACTATCAGATATTGATAATTGTTTGACATTGGAATGACCTTGAGAAACGTTATCAAGGTCGACAAAAATCTTAAATGGAAACTCCAATTTTTTATTACACCGTCTTTTTCCACCAATTAATTTGAACTTTTGCCTGAAACATTTTTTTATTTACCTAATATTTTTTGAGATATTTAAGGATAACTTGGTAACTTTTTTAATATTTAACTTACGAACTTACTCGCTAACTGTTTGTCGGGATAGAAAATGGTACTAGACTTTTCTATTCTATTTGGTCTCAAGAATATATTGTTACAATAGCGCCCTGACTTTTGTTAATTTGATTTTGAAATTTCGAAAGATCAATAAATTAACAAAAAAATAGAGCATTATTGTACCGATATATTCTTGAGATCAAATAGAATAGAAAAGTTTAGTACCATTTTTTATCCCGATAAATAATTAGCGAGATATTGTAAGTTAAATATTGAAAAAGTTATCAAGTTATCCTTAAATATATAAAAAAAATTAGTCAAATAAAAAAATGTTTCAGACAAAAGTTGTTTAAATTAATTGGTGGAAAAGACGGTGTAATAAAAAATTGGAGTTTCCATTTAAGATTTTTATGTCGACCTTGATAACGTTTCTCAAGATCATTCCAAGGTCAAACAATTATCAATATCTGGTAGCTTTTTTTAAGGCCTACAACTTTTATTTCAAACATTGTTTTAAACAATCATTATTTTTTGAAATAATTAGCCGTTCCGGAACTTTTGGCAGACCCTGTATATTACATATCATATATATGTATTGAAATTATATTTGTGTACTTATATATACGTATATTTTACATGTACACAAGTATATAAATGTACTTCAGTGTAATATTAATTATTGATAATAATTTATATAAATATCACAAAAATATAGCAGTCTCCAACTTCATCCCCGACACCACCACTGACAAAAATGTCAGTCAGTGATAAGAAGAGATTATTCGAAAGTGCTATGGAAGAACACTTGAAACCGTCCCCTAAACCAGGTGAGAATACGCATTTTCTTTAATACGTGGAAGATTATTTGGATTAATATTAAAATAAATTTTAAATGCGTATGAATAAAAAGTTTGAATAAAATAGAATGAAATGTTTGTAAATGAAAACGATTCATTTTTTAAAATATTTTTAACAATTTATGATTCGCTTATTGTTTTGATCTTATTGTATTATCGTGATATAAAATGTTATTATTAGTCGATTTTTTATCTTGTATGTATACATGTTACATTATTGTTACAGATAAAATATTCAGTTTTTTAAGTCAAGATGAGGTAGAGAAAATGAAACAAGAGGAAGGTAAGAGATTACTTGAACATGTATATAATTATCGTATTATTTCATCCTACTTGTAGACTTCCATTTATAGACATCCATTTTATAGATTTCTTTTAATACATTAAAACCAGCTAGCTAACGAAACTACTTGTTTAATTCAACTATTACATTTAGTTCAACTCTTCCTCGTTTTTTCTGCAATATGTTATAGGATCCGCAATATAATATAAAGTAGAATCGTGATGATAATTGTTAAAGAATATTTTACAAATATTAAATACCATTAATCATCAACTTTTATTTTATCAGAAAAAAAGATTGCAACTTTGACGCGAGACGAACTCAAATCATGGGCACAACTTGACGAAAATGAAGGTCTCGAAGATTTGGACCCAATGGATGACAATGGCCGACCTAAGTAAGCTTTATTCTTCACATTAAAATTATTTCTATTTCGATAATTATGCAAGATGCATCAAGACATGCAGTTTATGTATGCATCAAGTAGTAATATTTATCGTTTAATATAAATTATATCAGGAAGAGAGAGAGAGAGGGGAAGGGGAGAGGAAGAAAGAGAGAAAAAATATCATATGATTATATTAAATATTTAATATACATGAGTAATAAATATAAGAGTTAGCTCTTGCGTAACGAATTAGATATTATAGCGGGCGGTTTCTTTATAAATTTATAAATTTGTTATTTTATTTTTTTTATTGGCTGTGCGTGCGTGTGTGGATGTATCTGTGGTTTGACATCGATCTTACAGTTTACATAGGGTAACTTTTGCAGTATTCGAATAAGCTTTCTTATGTATATAATACGTTTAGCACTGTATATAATTTTGTTTGACATTAGAGTACATTAATTTCTATATGTGCGTGTATGTATGTATGGGTATACGGTGAGTGTGCGTATGCGTATGTGCGTGATGTCTGTTATATACTAAATGGATCATTTGTCTCACTACGACTACGATATTCAAGTACGTTGGTGAAGTTTTCGTTTCCGTCTTCTATTCTTCTCTTCTTTCCCAGGCTAGTTGGTGAAATTCGAAACGCATTGCAAAATTTTTTCTTAAATTTGACGTAGTGTGCGTGTACAACTATATGTTGCATAACGTCATTAATCGATACATGAGAGATCTTGACGCACCCGAGTATTCATTCACCAGGGAAAAGCTCACCACCTCTCGAGAGCTTACCAACGTCTGATGTTTATTATTTAATTGTGTTTTGCATGCATCCTGACATTACTACGTTTCTTGTATCTTTATTTGCTACCGACAACAAGATGCAAATTTACACCAGCTTGCACATGCTCTTACGCTGTATATTCACGCCTGTGTATATTAGGTTTTGATTTATATGGTGAACCTTTTGTGCCGGATTGTTGTCATACGAAACGAGTGGAAAAGCATTATCAAACGATATAGATGAAACTTATGGCAGACTCGAGATAAAATTAAATACTAATAAATAAGTATTTCCTGAAACATTTTTTCTCAAGCTCTCATTCTTTTGAGGCTGAATAATGTTTAAATTAGATGTTTCAATGTCAAATATCTTATATCCAAATATTGATATTGCTTGCTTCAACATTAGAAACACGAAAGATTCCACTGCGTTTTGATAGCGGCGTTTTTACACAAACTGTCTCATCGGTATTTGAGGAGAAAAAAATGAACTTATATTCATTCACTACAAATTGCCACGAACGATCTGAACAATCCGAATAAGAGAAAGGGAATCGATTTTATGTTGCTTTTGTGTACATTGTTCGAATAAACTTTACGTCTATATAGCATACGCATAATCATTCGCCAGTATGCATGCTCGTTACCTTCCAGTAGCCGACTGAGCTCGCGAACTTCGATCCCTCTTATCCAGAATGTTCCCAGCAGTGTGAGGACGGCGAAAGCGGAACGTCGTTTAAAAGAACGATTAATACAAGAGGTATTGTTTTAACTTTAATTTATTATATCTTAATTAAAACCAATATTCGAGTCAGTAACACTGGGTCATTAAATTTTTTATCTTAATCACAACGATCTAAATCGAACTTATTTAAAATTGATCTTCGGTTTCTCATCAACCTAAGGGCCTTATCTCGGATGAAGACGAAGAACACTTTTTGAGCCCAGCGGAGCAGCGAGCACTTAGAGCGGAAAAACGTGCCGCTTGGCGTCAAGCGCGTCTTAAGTCTCTCGAGCAGGTAAAATTGGAAGCCGATCCGACATGTTAAAAAAGTGTCAAAAAACTAATATAATCATAATTAATTGTATGCGTTCGTATTTCTTTCGATAATATCTTGATATTCTTTTTGTGCTTATAGGATGCACTCCAGGCACAGATGGTGATCAAAAAGATGAGCGAAATAATGGACACTAATAAGCAGGAAGATACTCGTGATTCGGCTGAAGCGATCAATACGGCGGCTGATCCTGTTCACGAACAAGAGAAACCGATTGAAGTAAGCGTTTAGAATATATTTCGAGAGAATATGTGAATTTTCGTGATCCATGTAATATATAACGAGAATTTCTCTAGAGAGAAAGATATTATACAATTAACCCGCAAGCTTGATTGTATCGGAGTTGTGTGTTTAACCTAATTGTTTTACTAATTGCTGTCCTGCTCGCCTAAAGCTCTAACACGTTAAGCGTTGCATAAAAAAAAACAAGCGAGAAAGAGCAAATATTATGTTATTACAACGGTTCCATTTGTCTGTCTTGCTATCATAGTTTGCTACGTTACGGCCGTCTAGCGCGGATTTTCCTAAGCTCGCTGTACGCAGTAAAGTGGGTCCCCCTAAAGAGATACGCGAATCCGAGAAAGTAGTGGACGAGAAGGTCACTCGGCGTACCGAGGAATACCTAGACGAGGTGACGGGCGAACGTCGTGTACGAACCGTTGAATACGTCGAAAAGCTCATTGAGCGTCAGGTATTATTATTCCTAAAACTTGCATCAGCGTTAAAGCACATAAATACACGTTTAGCAGAGGAGTGAAGAAAGAGAAGAGTAGAGAGAGAGAGAGAGAGAGAGAGAGAGAGAGAGAGAGAGAGAGAGAGAGAAAGCGAGAAAGCATGATCACAAACTGATCACTGTTGCAATAATTTTCTATTTTTGTGCACCAAACCTTCCTGATTTGTACCCTTTTTCCCTTTTTTGTACTTATGATACAGATAGTTATCCTGTAGATATCACTCTATAAATGATTAGTTCAGGACATCTTACGCGCGTATATACAGTACAAGATCGGAGTCCATTAGGGAGGTTTTCTCGTACATTTATGCTTACAAGCATTCATATAGTCTGTGTATCATTTATTCAATCGTTACTGTGTTTATTGTTTCAAGACTCCGTCGCTTACTACGACGATACGTTATGCACCACCTTGAATTATGAATGTCACTTCTACTGATCTCACTAACAACTTCCTTCTGAGCTATGGGGTAATTTGGTTTTCATATATTTGTATATGTATCTTGAAGCTTGTAATTATGCATCTCTATGTAACATGTGCACAACTGACTTTATCTATGTCGGTTCCATTGGATGTACTTTTTGTTGCATGTAATGAAAGATACGTAGCAGAATCAATTAAAAGTAGATTGAAAATCATAGAACAAAAAATAATTTTTTTCTGTGTTAAGATTGGAAATTTGTGAAGTTTCGTTCCGAAAGCGATAGTAAGAGTTGCGTCGCTGATGCAATATATCTTAATATACGCAATTGACACTAACATCACTAAAATCGAATATGATATTTCGCCAACACACGCATTGTAGTCTTTATTTTTTTATTTACGCTATACTTATAAACATCGCAAAGTTTTTAGATCGTCGCTTGTGCAATATATCTTACATTTACATCAAGATATGTAAATTTCGCGAAACAATGTTAGTTGCACCGTTGTAATGCTAGAATCTAATGCGCGCACGAGGATTGATTTACGTCGACGATTACAATGTGTATATTTTTATAATCAGGTAGAGACTTTGAGAGAGAAAATTATATCCTTGGAACTGAGCAATGCAGAGGACGACATGGAAAGTATAACTGGCACCGGTGTGAGCGATGCCGAAAGCGAAAGTGAAGATATCGCGGGGAATAACGCGGCTATGAGTGGTGTGGAAGACAAGACAGATTCTCCTAATACGGCTGATGCAAGTGAAACGGCGTCTTCTAAGACAAATGCAAATATCACGGTCGCATCCACAAAAAGAAAGAAACGGAAGCGATCGAAAAAAGGTCGTCATTGACGGCAGATGTGCATTTTAATGAGTAGGTGTAAAGCATTGATGTTAAATATACTTGGTAAAAATCGGCGGAGCTTTTCTACTACTTCGATATTTAGCAATCGCACGAATTTATCGTGTACTATTTTACTTTTAGATATGCATACATATATACACATATAAGAATAAAATCATGCATTTATATAAATTTATATACACACATGTGTATACTTGAGAATGAGAGAATTGAATATTTCGAATATATCAGTGCATGTTATCGTGACATAAATGACTACGTGCACGTTTTCTTTCTTTCTTTTTTATATAATATATACAAGCAGCATTTCTGGGTATGTAGACTCTACACAAACATATTATATATTCAATATAAAAATAAGAGATATTTGCAGTAAAATATCCTTTATTTTTCGGATACATTTAACGTTTTAGAACTATATGTAACTACCATTTGTATTACACCCTGTATACATATGTGTATGTATCAAACGCAACTCTATGAATTCGATGTGTGTTATAAGAATTGGTACAATTACGCATTTTAATGTTCAATTTTTGATGTTTAATATCGTGCTACTACATTTTTTGTATATCATTGTCAATTACGTTTTTAGATCGTGCCTCATGCCAATACACTTGGGACTTTGCTAACTTGAAATTCACAGATATTTTAAAGAATAAAACAAACTTAAAAGAAAGATAAATCAGAGAGTAGTAAAGAGATAATTAATATTCCAATAAGAAATGGCATGATAGAACTGAGGCGGATCTTTGAGAGAACCGCTCATTCTTGATTCCAATATCCTTTATTTTTGAACAAGTAATGGCAAATATATACATGTCCGAAGACATATATATTTATGTCATATTTTGCCGTATTATTTCCACATAGTAGTTAGGTACCTACACGCGATAGAAATATTAATGAGGGAAAAGATGTTAAAGTTAATATACCAACAAAGAATCGTTAAATATGATTACATTCTTTTTTATACGCATGGTGAGGATCATGTACTTCCGTTTTTCTGTCTAATTGAGAGTATATTTATAATAATTTTGTTAAAAAAATATATATTTTTAAGATATGATAAGATTATAAGATTATACAGTTACAACGTCACATAACATAAGGGTCTCATAATTATGTTTTGTATATGCATTGTAGCATTTTATAACGTCCATTTTCTTGTACTACACTTATTTATATCCATTGTGATGGAAAGAAGTATTTTAAAACTGTTGTTTCTATAATTTGACAATATCTTATACACTATACTTTAACAATATCTTGTAAATTATGTTATAAATAATTATAACGGTGGAGATGTTTAAATTCTAGATTTTAAGTAATTGATTAAGTGATTGATGGCCCATTATATTATTTATATATTGTTTTATTTATTTGCTTTTTTAAACATACGTTTTATATGGGGATAATCTGATATACGCATTACGTTTCATTTCAGTAAAAGCAAATCCATATAAGAATAAAAACAATGTTAAACTTTGGTTTACTTTTAATATATATTATTAACATCCAGGAGCCATTATAAAATCAAGTAGATATAAACTATTATAATTTGATGGTTTCGATGTTTAATCAGAAAATATTACATCTGTCAATGTAATATATTTAACAACGTGACTGAATATGTGTGTGTGTCTACAAATTATAAAACACACATGTACATCATATATATCATTTTATACAGGGTGTCTAAAAAATACCGGACCCCCCGGATAACTTTGCAAGATCAAATTTTCATTAAAATCTTTAAATACAAAAGTTGTAGGAAATCGAATAACGGACTTAATAGTGACCTTGAATTTGACCTTTAAGGTCATTTGGAGGTCAACTGACTTTTGGAAATTTCAAAATCATTGAATTAACAAGAATCATGGTACTATTGTAACAATATATTCTTGAAACTAAATAAAGCAAGAAAGTCTAGTACCACTTTTTCTTCCGACAAATAGTTAGCGAGATATCGTAAGTTAAATATTGAAAAAGGTACCAAGTTTTCCTCAAATATCTCAAAAAATATTAGGTAAATAAAAAAATGTGTTAGACAAAAGTTGTTCAAATTAATTGGTGGAAAAAAAGTGTAATAAAAAATAGGGGTTCCCATTTAAATTTTCAAGTTGACCTCCAAATGACCTTAAAGGTCATGGCCAAAGTCAAATTCAAGGTCACTATTAAGTCCGTTACTCGATTTCCTACAACTTTTGTACTTAAAGATTATTTTGTATTTAAAGATTTTCGTGAAAATTTGATCTTGCAAAGTTATCCGGGGGGTCCGGTATTTTTGAAGCACCCTGTATATATCCATATATAGTCTGCTATATATAATTTATATATATATATATAGCAAAATATATATAGATATATATGAAATTCTGAAGAATTTAAGACATCACACAGCTTACGCGTAATAGACGTCGTCATTCATAATATATATTCATATAATATTAATATTAATATTCTTTGCCTTAGGAATTTGAGTATTATTTTATACTAAGTATCTATATATACATTATCTCTTAATCCAGAAAAAAGATATGCTGTTAAAATGTATTTATTCGATAAATAATATGAATAGACAACAATTTTCCAATGTATGTAAATAAGCGAAACTGCGACTTAAAGTGCGATTAAGAATGCGGGACCAATAAGTGAAATTAAGCGAATCCGTTAACTTCGCTGTATCTAGAACAAAGGCATTTAAAAGAAAGGATGGTAGTTGAATATTGGTATATTAAAATTGTTCACTGATCGCTGTAATAATGTGCTAATATATCGCGCGGAGTAAGTGTAAGTGTGCAAAGAGAAAATGATTCAACGGAATATCGTTACTTGAAGTCTAACTCTGTTAAACGGTATTTTGTTGAGTTGATCTATTAAATCTAAGTACACCGGTAAGTCTTATCCGGCATGCAAGCTGAGTCCAAGCCGGATTAATATCACAATATGAATACATTGTCAGATCAATAATAATAATAATGTTCAGTTATTGATGTACGAAGAATGGAAGTGCCAATATTAATACTGTCTCACGTAAAAACTATCTCGTACTGTATTTCGTTGAATATCTCTATTACCATACAAAATGATTAACATATATTTCATCTTTTTGCTTTATTTCCTTTCTCAACTCTGTCCTCGCAGCGTAATGCGTTAACAATAAAAATGTACTATGAAAAGCATTTAAAAAGTGCCGAATATTAAATCGTAAACTATATTGTTTTCGAATATAGCTGTATGGTGCAGATTATAACTCTTACCCATAAAATATTTTAAAGTTCAGATATATGTAGCTATTTTCAAACATTAAACATATCTTAATTTTGCAATCTCTATAAGCACTGCAAAATATTATCAAATATACTATTAAATTTATTTTAAGACCATGAAAGAATTTTTTTATTTTTATATCTCAGTTTTAATCATCGAACAAATTAGTCTCATAAAATATAAACTTTAACTTCGATTTTTTTTATTTTTATATATGGGAATCGCCCCAATTAATTTTTTATTCGAGACAGTAAGAAAAATAATGAATATAGAATATAATTGTTTGTTTTTTCTATAGATATCATAGTTAAGCATTACAATTAATGAAAAGAAAAAATATTGTAACAATTTGTGACATTTTATATTAATTTTCTACAAATCCATTGCTGAAGTTATAAATCTAATCAATAAGAAATAGTGATATATTTCACATGAGATATTTTGCCAAATTTAATATTGAAAAGAATAATAAGGTGATTATGCGTGATAAGATAAAAACAATTCATCTGTTTGCAACTATCGCTGCAATAAATCTTTATGAACTTATTTGTAAAGTGTGTATTTATTGAATTTTTACATAGCTTTTTCAATCTTACTTGAATGGTTATATCCTATGTTAAATTGCGGTTAACTATCAGTAATCTACATAGAAATGCGATACGTATACCTATAGAAAAATATTGTAATTCGCCGTGCAAATTCTTTTGAATTATATTGATCTTTCCATTCTATTTCCAGTCTCCTATTTTTTTTGTGCTATGATACCTTCCAATTGAGTCTGAAAATTATAATTTTCAACTGATTGTAGATCTCTATTAGAACTGGGCAACGATACACGATGTGAGTAATATAACTTTATATATGATAAGAACGTAAAAGGAGAATATTCTATATCAAAAACTAAATCACTTTGAACATTTTTTACCTTAAGCTGCAAGTTCGTTTTCTTAAGAAACTGCACCTCTTCCATATGCTTTTTTTCTTCCGCTTCCCTCAATTCAGCTGATCTTCTGTCAGCTTGATCGAATTTGAGCCTCAACTCTGCCACCACCTTCTCCAATTCGATTTTCTGCAATTGTAACTCTTCCGCCGTGTTGATCAGATCTTCCTTACCTTGCTCGGCCTATAATAACAAGTGTTTCACATTAACTGCAATGAATATACATATATCTTACAGATTTAATTTGCTGAAAGTTTATCAAATTTCTACTTGCATGCTTGTAAAGATCTACGTACTTGCAATGCCTTACGCATTCCGAAAGCAATACTACTTTCATACAATGTCTGATATGCAGCCAGTGTCATTTTAATTTCGTCTCTTACTCGTAATAAGAGTAATCCACGTTCGGCGCAGTTTATAGTAACTTGTCGTATTAACTCATCTGAGCAATAAGCAATGATGTGAGACTTATAAAGCATTCACCCGCAAACACATTTTTCGTTTAAAATCATGAATAATCTTAATCTTTTACCAAAACATTGTGTATAGAGTTGCCTGCGAACAGGACAAATGCCAGTTTCTCTAGCTTGTCTTTGTTGCAATCGCATATCAAGCTGCTCTTGCAAGTTTATCACATCCAGCCTTGTTGCGGGAGTACTTGAAATCTAAATAACATTACATATTTATCGTTATATAATTAAAAAATAATATACTGTACATATGTGATAATTAAAGATACAATTAAGATTCTAATTTTATATTATTATAAAATTTATCCTTTTTGTGAATAAAATATGCTCTTAAAGAGAGTTTGGCCATCTATTTCTGGAACACTACATATGCAATAATTAAATATACGATTAAGAAGACTTAAGAGCATACTTTACTCACTATAAGGATAAAAATATCCAGAAAAATATGGATCCAAAACCGCTTCTTTTTTAAGTTATCATCACTTTTTATTTACAACAAACCTTGATAAGAATATTTCATTAAAGAAATTGTTGGAAATGATTTCCTTCTGCACCAATGCATGTCTCGTATCAATGTCTCATGGATTGTTGAAGATGTTCAAAAATTCCCAGAGTATTTCAAATTTTGCCACACAAAGCGATAATACGATTTCGGAATATTACGGTAGCAACAGGAATTTCTTAAACGAGTCTTAAGATGTCTCCATAAGGAGTTTATATCGGGAGATCGTGCAAACCAAGCAATGGGGCCTTCTCTGCCAATTCATCTATTTGTGTAATTATTATTCAGAAATGTGCTAGAAATATGCTCAATAAAAAGTATTTATAACTTGGAAAGGAAGCGTTTCTGGAGCCATATTTACATGACATTTTTTCATCCTTACAGTAAGCAGAATATGCTCTTAAAATTTGGTCACTTATTTCTGAAATATACTATATAATAAACTAACGAATCCTTTGATCAACTTCATAGGATATAATTGTATCTTGGAAGAAATAATGTTTATTTCTTCAGTTTTCTCTCAATTTCAAAAATTACAAATTTAATTATTTAATTAATAAAGTATTAACTAATTGTATTGATAATATATACATATACACACACACACATATATATATATATTATATATTATATATTATATTATATATTATATATATATATATATATATACATAAAATTATTTGAACTTACACTTTGAGACCATATCTGACCGTCTTCCTTCCATTCTTTCGGTGGCAAAATTCTGTTTAAAATCTCGATAGTTTCTTGTCGTATATCAGCTGGAATCGTTTTTTGCACTTTACAAACAGTTGTACTAACTTTGGTCAGAGTTGGCTCTTTACGTATCTTTCATAAAAAAGTCAATATTGTATCAATATTATTTATACACGTTTTCATACATATTCTTATAATAATTTACTTGCTGAGAAACAATAATTTATGGAGATATATGAAAATAATTACTTGATCACACAAATCACTATACCTTTTCAGGATAGGTCGTGATTAAAACCGGAGTATCGTATTTTACCAGCGTATCTATAGTCGGAATTGTACGTTCTTTTATCGCGGTCGCCATTTATTTGTTTTATTTATAAATTTTATATGAAATATATTAAAGAACAATATTATAGAGCAATATGTAACTGTTTAGAAGGACCTGATGCGTATACAGACTCGTAACTGGAGAAACATCACCATGGAAACATGATTCGCGTTTCGCACGATTGTTCCGGATAATTATTCAAAGTGCAACATATGATGATTAAAGGAAATGTCGTTTTAAATAATTACATTAAGAAGTACAACAGATAACAAGTACAACAGAATGACATAGTTTCTCCTACATGTAGAGACAAATAATGTAATAAGGATGGTATACACCAAGGTTTGTGAATAATATTTAATCTCTATTAGAGTCCATGGCTTAAGATTATACTCATATATTCATATGTTACAATTTTACGTTTCGTACTGCTGTTTCTATATATGAGGAATTTGACAAATCGTATAAGAAATTTCATATTTTTTATCCATACATTTGCGTATATTAAATAAAATTCATTATGATTCGTGACATTTTACAATCTTATTAATATGTACATTAATAAATGTAGAAATTTATGTATATTGCAGTAAGAGATATAATCGTTTATTGTAACTCTACATATAGTTAATTACATATAATTAATTAGTACATAATTAATTAATCTGCCGCTACATAAGTGTACTCAGCTGCGAAAGAAAGTGTTCGGTTAATTCATTTGTACTAAAATCATCATCGTCATTACTTTCCTCAAAAATGTCCTGGACCGTGCCCATTATAGTTTCTGTATTATCTATCACGATTTCTCTGCTAATTGATTCCACATTCTCGGAGTCTACTTCTATGTTGTTTATCGTACACTGCTTATCGAATATGTCATTCGTGCTGCCTCTTAAGGGGACGATCCGTAAAATCTCGTTGATGCTTTCATTGGAGTCCGAGAGATTGTCGTTAGCAATTCGCACGGCTGACAAAGTCGGGAGTGGAAGTCTGGAGCTTAATAGCTTGTCATATCCAGTCGTACCGCATGTTTTCTTAATTTCCAATGCTACATTCATTGGCAAAACTTTACCAGAATAGCTCTCCTTGACGACGTTCACTAGTATCTCGTTCAATCTAGTGATCTTATCGTCCATGAGTTTCTTCCTCTTCAGAAAGGTTTGCATGTTCAGCATCTTCCTTCGGTACGTGTTGGTATTTTTCTCCGCTCGTTCAAGGTATTTCGAGGCTTTCTCCAGCTTCCAATTGAGTTCTTTTATCCGATTGTCTCTTTGTTTCACCTGACTTTCTAATTTTTTTACTCGTTCATTTCCTACAGCCATAGACTTCACTAGTTTCTTGTTTGATTCCTCAAGATAACTTAGCCTACTTGACAAATCATCAGTTAACTTTTGTTTCAGATCCACGTTCTCTTTCATTCTTTTCGTCGAAGATGATAAGTTATTCGTTAATGCATTTAATTCATTCATCAAACTTTGTATCTTCTTCTGAAATACTGAATTCTTATTTTGTAATCCTTGCCCTACACGCTTGCAAAAAATAAGTTGATTACTCAGCTGTTCAACGGCATTGGCTTGCATTTTCGACTTTTGTTGCAATTTCTCATATTTATGTTTTAAAGAACAATCGTCCGCTGGTAGTCGTATAATATTTTTAACAACTGGTATTAAACGACTGTTATTTGTATTTAAATTATGTGACTTCTCATCAACATGTGCTGTTACTGTGCTCAAACACAGACTATTTTCTGAAGTTGAAGGTAACTTTCGATCGTTATATTTCGTCGTAATATTTTTGGCACATGCTGAAAGAGAATCGTCGTCTTGAGATTCGTCTTCGTCGTCTACGTCTGCTGGACAATCGTCTATTGTTATAACGGATGTAATAAATCCGTCACCTTCCTTGGGTGTATGGTCATCATTATATCTTTGGGTATTGGTATCTCCTACACTCTTCGACAAGTTATACATAATATCAGATACATCATCAGGGTGGCCTGTTACTTTGACTGTAAATTTCGGCGTAGCCGGTGAAGCATCAATAGTATTTTTATTCTGTATCCTCTGCTTTTTTCTTTTTTCATTTCCTCCTTCCGCATCGTCGTCGAAGATTCCATCACTGTCGCTTATGGAATTCGTGTCCTGAGAAGATGCATTACAAATGGACTTCTCTATGGATTTCATGATTTCATTTCGAGTTATACGTTTACGTTTCATGGCGGCCATTATGTTCGGTGTGACGTTTATATTTTGTTCGATCTCTTTATCATTGCTAACACAGTCGATATCTATCTCATGTGAATCTAATTTTTCAATGTCATCAACTACATCGTTATTATGTGATGCACATCCGTGTACCTCTGCATTTTCTTCTCTATTTTCAGTACTAAAGATTACTTCAATATCTTCCGTATCATTAGTAAGTATGTGTCTGATGTCACTTTTTGAAAATAATTTATAATTTTTGCTTTTATGGATTGGAATTCTGTTTGATGTTTGTTGTAAAACTTTTTTCTCATCATCTGAGATCGAATATGGCTTCTCTGTGCTATTAGAATTATTTTCTTCAAAAGGACCATCGCAAATTTGTTTTAATTTTTCTTCTATTTCGTCGTAATTATAAGGCCGAACTGAGATTTCTTCAGCTTCATCTTTTACCTGTGATTTACTAAGATCCTCATTAAGGTTGTCAGCTAAGTTTGAGATGGAATCACTAACAGGCTTCTCATTTTCTCCATCAACAACTTGCTTTTCAGTATTACATATGTTGACAATGTTTATTGTCTCTATATTATCGTCTGAAATTAAAATAATTTCTTTCTGAAAATCATTATGTTGTACAGGAGATATTTGTTTACTTTCTATCTCTTTTGAAAAATTATTCATTTTCTGATGTGCAAACAACTGTATAGATGGGTCATCAATATTCTGAGAATCAGAATACTTTTCTTCCAAGTAGTCAGTGGATGAATGTTCTCTATTATTTTCTACATACATCATACTGTTTTCAATCTTACAGTTGTTTTCATTATTAGCATTTGTTGTGTTTAAACGTTTTTTGAAAGACTTTCTAGTTGAAGTTTCTATAAAAATAGAAGGTATTGCATTTTTTTTTAATTTAATTCTACCGTTATCCATTATACACCATTTGTCAGATTCAAAGTGTATGTCACAAAGGAAGGAGTTATTTGATGGCTCCCAATTAGCTCTAGCAACACGTTCCTGCCAAATTTTTCTTAATTTTGGGTCACGTGGAAAACATTTCATTCTATAACCCTTTTCACTGCGATTGTTGCAACCAACAGCTGCACAACCAGGCATATTTGGTCAATCCGCGGAGATAAACAATCTGTAAATTTAGAATATTGGTTATAAAATACAGAAAATAAATTGGTAGCTTTATTTTAATAAATGATACCAAGCGAATATATTAAACAAATCCATTTTATATACTCCAAACAATATATGTGGGATCTGTCCTCTTTGTTTCTTTGTACTTTGTTTCCTTGCTGCTTTTTCCTTCATGTATTGAAATAAATTTATTTTATTGTAAATATAAAAATGTAAGAAAATGTAACTTACATATAATTAAATTTACACATAATAATGAGCATTTTATAATTAAAAAAATACCTGAAAACTAACCTGATTAATAGTTACATGTGCTAGTAATGTTTACAATATCACTTTTGTAATTATATCAGTGTCAATAAGTCTTTTTCAAAAAATCGATGTAACATTTTCACTTGTTGAAGATGAAAGCTTTAAATTTTTATTATGACTGTAATAGTTGAAAAACAATATTAACTATCTATTACATTATATATAACGATTTTTGTTATTAAATTGGAAAAAGTTTTTTAAATATATCAACATATATATACATATAAATATATAAATGCTATATTATTAACATGCAATACATATACTGTTAAAATACTTGCTTTGCAGTATATTTCAGATTATTTTATGTATGCTTCCAAGATGCAAATTTCCAAGATGTATATGCGGCGTTCTGACCAAACATACGTACACTCAATAATACAATCAGTTAACTGAATAGAGAATAAATTCTAGTATTCCTTCCTTCCTTCAATAGATGGCTCTGGGTCTGTGGAAGTAAGCCCCTACGCCATTCTCCTCATAAATTCTAGTGTCTGATCGGTATATATTCCTTTACTTCGAGTCCACAACTTTAAGGCTGCTTTCACAACGTAAAATGCGTACGTGTAACTTGCGACAACCAATAATTCATCTCAGCTATGATTTGGATATAACAGCTGAGACAATTGATTGGTTGACGCGGTTTACGTATACGCTTTTTACGCCGCATGGGGAGGCAGCCTGAGTCTGTTCATTTCGAAAGAACTTATAAAGATATGGGCTGTGTTTCAAAATTCACTGCCAGTACTGAAAATACATAGTTTGTGCCACGTACATTATAGGTTTTCAGTGCTGGCAGTGAATATTGGAACATAGCCATGATCACATTTATCTGTAGTTTATGTCATGTATGCCATAAAAAATGCTCGCATATGCGTGAAATGGAACGCACTCCAAAACGAGAGCCCAACAAAAGTAAATGGTGGGGATTAACCAATCAGAACAATTCTTTTCCGCTGTTTCATAGATGGGATTCGCCCTTTGACTATGGCTGCGTTCCAATATTCACTGGCCATTTTCCAGCAATGACTACGTTTACACGGCAAGGTTAATCCGGATTAGTAACAACCGTAGTTAGTGAATTCTTTAATTCGATTGGTATATTCTTTTAGATCTAAAAATATACTCTAATCGGATTCGAGACTGCACTAACTACGGTAGTTACTAAGTCGAAGTTAGAAGCCGTGTAAATGTAGTCTATTATGTGTTATGCAAAAACCTGTGCTCTTGTCCATAACTTTTGTACGGTCGCGGATATAAAGGTTGTCACTTTTTTTTTATGACTTTTGGGACGCATCCCGACTCGAAAAAGATGAGAGCTGCTGCTCCGCCTGCGGAGCACGTGTGCAGTAACTCACAACGAAAGGCGAGAAATGAAATATATGTGGTATGACATAAATATGTCAACAATCATTGCGTTCAGCGGAGAAAACTGCTCAGTGAGCGATTAATGACTAAAAAAATACGATTTCACTTAAAATTTAATATTCATACCTGTTCAATACCTGTTGCAAAAGACGCATTCTTATTTGAATGACTTGCACTATGTATCTATCCCTCCGCTGCTGATTTTTCAAAATGTAAGAATTGGATGCGTTCATGACACTCAACAGTTGAGAAACTGTTGAATAATTCGTTAACGTTATTGATCTGAATGTAAGGATCTAATAATAAGGACCAATAGTCACTAATCGCTCACTGAGCGGTTTTCTCCGCTGAACGCAATGCCTGCGTTCAGTAGAACAAAATTATCAGTGAGCGCTTAGCGATTATTGTATGTGATTGGAGCATTCTTTTAGATTCTTCATAGACCCAGAAGTATTTACCAATCAGGAGCGAGAATCACTAAGCGCTCACTGATCACTTTGTTCTGCTGAACGCAGCCAATGGTTGCGTTCAGAAAACAAAGCGCTCACTGAGCGCTTAGTAACTATTGGTCCTTACTATTAGGTCCTTATATTCAGACCAATAACGTTAACGAATTATTCAACCGTTGTGTAACCGTTGTGTTTTTTAAACGCAGCCAATGATCTGAAAGCGGCCAACACGGCGTTTTCGGCGACACCGATTTTTCGCACTGGAAATAGACGCCATCTGCATCCATTTTGAGAGGAGAACTACGATGCTACATCCACTTTTAGGTCTTGGTGGTAAAATCTGCATGTGGTGGAAGTTCGTGCTACATCCATTTTTAGGCGGTTTATGTCCGTGCTGCAACCATAGTTACTATCTCTCTACGCCAGACAATAGGCCTGTTCGTTTTGTCTGCACTACTGAACTGGTGCAATAAGTTGAAATGAGAAAATCTACGTTTGTTTCACTTTAACTTAATGCACTAATTCAACAGTGCAGACAAAACGAACAGGCCTTATGCCCGAAGGTCTAAAAAGAGCGGGCGGGGGGAGGAGGAGCAGGAAAAATAAAAGTACATATTAAATATTAAATCCTCTACATACATGTTGCCGTATCAAAGTCTCCTGTATAATAAACGATTTGATACGTCTGGAGACGCATGATGTATCGTTGCCCGCGTCCTGTTCCCTTCGTCCTGCTTCTCAATTCAGCATCCCGTCCGCTCCGGACATTCGCTCGTGGCACTGACAATGGCCGTCGGTGAACATTCAATCCGTTCGGAGGAGCACATGTTAATTAACGCGACGAGACTCCGATTATAAATATCCCGCGAGTCGACGAAATATTTGAACTTTTAAAAAAGCATCAAAGAAAATCATGTTGATGTTGTTATGGGTGAAATCTCACCCTAGTATATATTCTTTTATTTTTGAAATAAAAAAAGTCAAACGAATGCAATTAAATATTATTTATTATCGTTGAATATTAGATGAAAAGTAGAAGAGTTATTGTCCGTAGCGGATAATCTAACATCTAATAAAACCGAGACGCGAAATTCGCATGAGATGAAATTCCACTCTTTAACGTTACCATGACCTTTAATTATTCTCCGAAAACGGCGTTATAACAACTTTGACATTCTGTACAATTAGTTGCTAACATATTTTCTAATTGTACACATTCCTCTTTAATTAACATAAAGCTAACAAATATCCGATGCTTCGACAGAATAATTTTCTTTATTTTCAGTAATCAATAAGTAGTAAATCAATGTCGCGTACAGTTGAAAGGCCTCCTCGAATTCCCCTCGTTGTCCCGGAACCTTCGAGAAAAGAAAAGATGCTCAAGGGCAAGTCTCTCTTGCTTCAACCGCTGCCGAGGCCCGCAATGTTTATATCGCACCGATTGTGTTGATCGGCTCGCGAGCGACGACACTTTTTGCCCTTCGTTTGACGTTTGACGAATTTTCCGGGAATAAGAAGTCGGAATTTCGCGCTCGGCATTCACGATCCGTTATCAACCGACTAGTAATCATAGACACTTTATGAATCTGCAATTACTCTCGTATATATAATAATAATAAATTATAATTATAATATTATGTAATTATAATAAAATGTACTTGTAAATTCTCTCTCTATATATATACGGTGTAATGTTTTATTTAAGTTTATATAGTATTATAATAAATGATAAACCTTCACTATAGAATATACATATCGAATGTGCATATATTCTACATATTTTGATATTTTTTTATTCAAAGATGTTATTCTTATTATAATTAACGAAATGTCAATGATATCTAATTTAACTTTAAAAAACTATATCGAACTAAAACTTGATTAATACATACATGACAGCATTTTTATTATAATAAAATGTTCTTGTAAATTCTCTTTATACATATACGGTATAATGTTTTATTTAAGTTTATGTAGTATTATAATAAATAAATTATAAACCTTCATTATAGAATACATTATAATAAAAATGCTGTCATATATGTATTAAACAAGTTTTTAATTAGATATAGTTTTTGGTGCAGCCGCGCCAAGATTTTTTGTATCAAATATTTTTTATTGCATTGTTATAATAATTAATTTGTTAAAATAACAAGTAAAATAACCGTATAACTCAGTGTTCTAATAAATAATGATAAATTTTACTTGTAAAAATTTATGTTATGGACATTTCTTGTAGCTAGGTTTTCTCAAATATTTTGAATAACATAACCTTTAAAAAGATAATTTTTTTAAATATTAGACACTATTAACAAACGTGTTAAATTTTTATAACACGATATAATTTTTACTTTTAAAAGTTTATGTACATATATTATAAAAACTTATGTTATGTACATAATATATATTTTAAAAAAGAAAATAATTTGAATTTGAGATTTCTAAAAATATTAAGTTAAGTATACAATAATCATATATATATGTTAGGTTTCTCAGTTGGCGCTACAGTTCTAATATATCACTTCCTTTGTACAGTAGAAAAGTGTTGCAGAGTTTTATTATAGTTATAAGTTATACTTGTAAAAACTTATGTACACATATACACAATAAAAAAAATAATTTGAGTTTGATACTTCTAAAAATAACACAATACGTGTTGCACTTGTACTTGGCGCCTTTTTTTTACCTTTTTGTTTAAAAAGGTAAGTTTTATATAATATTAAATATACGTTTCACGTATAACGTGAATGACTTGAAGTACTCCGTGCCCACGGTGTTATTCATGGCGACGCATTCATACTTTCCCTGATCTGTTACATCGGATTTGATAATCTGCAAGACACCTGAAACATAAAATGTGATATTCTCGAAGAGCGTTCCTCTAAGGATTTTCTTGTCCAAAGAAAGATCAATGATGCGATCGCAAATCTCGTGTATGTCATGTTAATAGAGACAGTTTGAATTCGACGTAATATAATTCTTGGAACAAACGTAAATATAAGTATTGTAAAGTTTGAAGCGAGTCTCTCACAGGCATACTTTGAAAACACGAGTTGTTTTCATTTTCAGCTAACGGACGACGCAGGCATCAACACTGATCGGCAAGGTCAGCGACTGGTGGGGGGTAACCGTGCCTTCCCGATTGTTTGGTTTCGTACCCTTGTATATGACTCCGTGATTGCGGAAAGGACATTGCGCCTCGGGCCGACGAACGACGCGCATACCGCGACGCAGAGTACGAGTGTCGGTTAATACGTGTTTCTTTGTCCGAATCTTACTTGCGCGAGTGTTAGAGCTAGAA